AAAGAAAAGAAAAGAAAAGAAAAAAGAACAAAAATCTCAATTAATTACACTTCCATTTCAATTCAAAAAAAGTCTTTTTGATACCAACTAGGTGTAGAATGCAAGTATACAGAGGTGGTGAATATCAGTCTCTGACTTCACAGTCTACAAGGTTATAGAGAGGAACAATAAGATACAGTCACAAATAATTAGAATACATGGAAAAATACAGTAAGACTTATGAGAAAAATAAAGTGTTCTAAGAGCACAGAAAGTAGTAATAATCACCACTCAGTTGAGAAGTGTCCTTCATGGGAGTAGGATAGCATGGAATGTCAGACGGGGACAGCAAAACCCCAATTTGGCTGAATGATAGGTTAATATTGAGAGACTATAATTTTTTGTGCTACTGAAAATGAGAAAAAAATCCAGCTTCCTCAATTTCTGATCGCTTAATAGGCAGCTTTTCACCTTCTTTCCTGTTCTCCAGTGAAAAGCAGTAGTTAAATTTGGAAAGACACAAAGATTCAAATTCTAGTTCCATCAGTAACTAGCTAGATGATGCTAACTTATTTAAGTTATTTAACATCTCTAAGTCAATTTATATTTCTTTCTCTTTGGCATGGGGATAATAATAATAGTAAAAGTACTTACTGCATATGATTATGGAAAGACTAAATGAATTAATAATGTGTATAAATGCCATGATAGCTATTATTATAGCAAAAAGAGTCAAGATTAGGAATCAGGAAATTGATCTTTAGTTTGGGTGTGCTACTAATAAGCTGTGTGACCTACATAAATTGCTTATCCTCTCTGGGCCCAATTTCCCTATCTGCAAAATTAGGGGATTGACCTAGATGATCTGTATTCCTTCTAAACTGTGATAGCCTAGGTACAATAGATGGCATTTTTATTTTACTTTGATACTGAGCTGTGCAATTGGATTAAATTGAATAAAATTGCCATCATTGAGCCTTTAATACATTGAAATTTTATTAAAAGGCTGAAAATGAAAGTAACAATAATACATTAGGCCAGGGAGGTGATTTCAAATGGACACAAAAAGAGTAGTGATAGGTCAGGTCCTATTATCATGCCTGGATGCAAGAGAAAGTAGATGGTAAATGGTATTAAAATCATGTGCCAAGCTCAAAGGTGTATGATTTTATGTAAAAAAAAATTAGAAAACATACTCACTCTAATTTTAGTATTAATTATCCTGACAGTTCAGGGCCTGAGCTGTCCTAATACAGTAAAACTTAGGTCTAACTATATGATATTTACTATATAGATAGTAACGATATAACAGTAATATTTTAAAGTATCCAATGATTGAACTCAACAAAGAGCATAAAGAATAAAATTCTGAGATGCCACCCTGAGATAAGTGACAGAATTGGACCAGCTATCATGCTCGTTATGTATAATAAGGATAGTCTTAGAATAGGAAAAAGGGAGACATTATAATCTAAGAAATGAAGTACATTACCACTATATTTCTGTTTCTTCAATCATTATTCCTGTTGTCAAATTTTATCTTTGTTCCTACAAAATGTACAAAAAGGTGTTGATAGTATTTGGAAATGCATCAAGAAGTCAAAATCACCATATATTTTAAATATTTCTAACTGTTTAACTGAAGTCTTGGAAATGAATTCATTAACATGTATATATTTCAGGTAATGATGTCTTTAGAGTCTGTACTTCCATAATGAAGAAAACTATTGAGAAGCCTTTAACTCATGACCCTGGATGAATCTAAGATGTTTGCATAAAGTTTAGTATAATATGATTATGTCGCTGATTAGAAATTTTCTGGAAGGGGAATTTGTTCTATGTCCTAAACAATTGGTTAATCAAATTTTTCTCTGATGTTTTAATATTTGATCAGTGAACTGCATTACAGGTCAGGACCAAAGGAAATATAGTAAAATGTGATTATTTCTTTCTCTCTCTTTCTTTCTTTCTTTCTTTCTTTCTTTCTTTCTTTCTTTCTTTCTTTCCTTCTTTCTTTCTTTCTTTTTCTTTCTTTCTTTCTTTCTCTTTCTTTCTTTCTCTCTCTCTCTTTCTTTCTTTCTTCTTTCTTCCTCTCTCTCTCTCTCTCTCCTTCTCTCTTTCTGTCTTTCTTTCTTTCCTTTGACACAGTTTTGCACCTGTTGACCAGGCTGGAGTGCAATGCTGTGATTTCGGCTCACCACAACATCCACCTCCTGGGTTCAGGCAATTCTCCTGCCTCAGCCTCCTGAGTAGCTGGTATTATAGGCCTGTGTTACCAAGCTTGGCTAATTTTGTATTTTTAGTAGAGACGGGGTTTCTACATGTTGGTCAGGCTGGTCTTGAACTCCCGACCTCGGGTGATCCGCCTGCCTTGGCCTCCCAAAGTGTGGGGGTTACAGGCGTGAGCCACTGCACCTGGCCTAAGATGTGACTCTATAAAACAGATATAATTTACTCAAAAGATAGTTTCTCAGCATTACAAAGCATTGTACAGTTAAGGTATCTCGTAGTTATGCTTTATAACTGTAAATATCTAATGCATACAAAATTGTTTAGATTATATTAAATTATAAAATATGTAGTTTTTATAGTACATATTGATAATACAAAATTGAGTAGGTATTTTACAATCCTACTGGTATATTGGATTGTTTATGTTTGTTACAAAATATAAGAATAGCTCTCATTTTGGGTTAGTATCTCAAAAAATATTACTCCAGTCATACCCTCTATAATTTTGTATTTCTCTATTGTGGAACTGTATTTCAAACTACTCCAATTTATTTGTATTTGTTATATCATGCTCTCCTAAAATGCACCCTCACTTGAAAATTGACTAAGTGGTAAATAAATTAATAAACTATTACTTGGCCCTGCAAGTTACATGTCTTGGTACCGTCTAAGAACTCTGTAGATGTGGTTATCAGTTTTAGGGGGAAAATAGTGAACTTGCATTGTTATTTACAGCAGTTTGATGGAAGTGATGACTCCAATTTGTTCACACCATTCTAAACCCATGCCATTTGTTAATGTCCTTACATTCAGACTTTGGGCTTGACCATGAGATTTGCTTTGGCCACTAGGATAGTAGCAAGCAGAACATGATGCAAGCTGACTTGAAAAGAACTTCTTTTTTTTTGAGACAAAGTCTTGCTCTATCACCTAGGCTGGAGCGCAATGGCTCCATCTCGGCTCACTACAACCTTTGCCTCCTGGGTTCAAACAATTTGCCTGCCTCAGCCTCCCCAGCGGCTGGAATTACAGACACCCACCACTGTGCCTGGCTAATTTTTTTTTTTTTTGCCATGTTTTGCCATGTTTGCCAGGCTGGTTTTGAACTCCTGACCTCAGGTGATCCACTCACCTCAGCCTCCCAAAGGAAAAGCACTTCTACATTAAAACTTACCACTACGTTGTGCTTCACATGCTATGTAAATTATTGGCTCTAGCTAGCCTCTAAATGGTAAGAGACACACGACTCAGTCATTCTCATTACCCCAGCAAATTGGGAGCCAAACTGCACACCAGAGTGAGGTCATTCTAGATCACGCAGCTCCAGCACTAGCAACCTCAGGTAAGATGTGCTGAACTTCACCAGGTCAGCAGAAGAGCCCACCTGACCTGCAGACTTGAGAATAATATCTAGTGGTTATTCTTTGTGCAAC